AGGGAGCTCTCCAGGGAAGCTGTAATTTGCTCTTCTCATGTGAGCTCTCCAATGTTCTGAACCTAACTAACAATGCAGCTTATATTCTGTTACACTGAAGTTCCTCCAAGAGAGCGACATCACGGACCGAACAACTGTCAGCTCTGGGGGAAAGGCAGTTTACTAATAGCACCAAAAATATAAAGCCTCCTTTGCTGTATTAAACATCAACAGCTTTGATTATTTTTATTTTCCAAATCGCTTACAGTCTAATCTTTCTGTGCAGCGTCACCCTGAGTTACAATTTCTTAGTTATATCCCATTATATAATGTGTTTAGGTATATTATAAGTTTTAACATTTGGATGTATTCATTAAATAGCAGATGGGGTGCATTGAAAATATAAGTGGAAAATTCTTACTAAAATTGCAGAGTTGTTACTATAGCAGGTTGTAGAATTTGGTCTAGACTAGAGTTTGCCATTTGCACATCTGAAAAGGTGGGAGGGTAGGGGGTCATTTTAATGCAAATTAAGTTAGAATATGGATCTGATGATTAAAGAGTTACTCCAATCACCATGGCCACTTCAGTGATTTGAAGTAGTGATGGTGTCTGAAGTTTTTATGTGAGACTCTGCACCGGCATTGCTACTGGGATGTCATCAGCCAAATTTAATTGCATAGACTGCCATTAAATCAATACTATAGGCACCCAGACCACTTCATCTCACTAAAGTGGGCTGTGTGCAGAGCAGAGCCCCTGAGTGTTTATCTGTGGAATGTAAATTGCAGTTTCTGAGAATGATTACATTGCAGGGTTAACTCCACCTCTAGAGCCAATTCCTTACTCCGCTATTTGAAGTTGGACATCTGCCCGCTTTGTATGAGAATGTCCCACATCTTCTATGGTCCTATAAGGAGTCTCAGCACTAGAACGTGGTAAGGTGAGAAAAAAAAAAGGGGGGGTTTAACCCTTTAATCATCAAACCTGGAGGTAAGAGATCTTGGGACAGGGACACTATAGCATTACGAATACAAGTTTGTATGCCTAACTCTGAAGTGTTCCTTTAATTGGCGGTCAGCACCACAGAACCTGGACAGACGTGCGTCACCAAACCAGCAGGTAGTCTCAGAGCCCTGCAGAGACCCAGGTAAGAGGGTAAACAGTTGCTAGATAATTTGCCCTATTACTGGAGAACAGGGCCAGGGTGCTCCTTGTAGAGGACTGCAGTGTTTATAATACTTGAAGTAATCTTTATTTAATGTCATAAGAAGCAGATATGCAATCCGAGGCTGTCAATATAGAACTATGGCATCATCAGTGGCTAAAGAACTTTCTATATAACGTCACTATTGAGGCTATTTATTTACTAAAGTGGGATTTGTGAATTTCAGATTTAGACCAAAGTCTCCGAATACAAATCCTCCCCACCAGCTATGTATTCATTTGAGCTATTTCAACCCAAGAGCCAGTAAAATCAGGCTGTATGTTTAATGATTCTCCTGCAGAATGTGGATATAACACAGAGCAGCTCCACAGTGTGCAATGTGATAACCTCTTTAACACCTCATTCACAAGCCTTCAGCAAATCGCAGAAATATCAGACACTGTTTCCAAGGAGAATGTTTATTGATGAGGAATCTCAGTATATGGTCTGTGCAGAGCACAAAGTGATGTCAACCCTTAAAGAAACTTCAGACACATAAAGTACTTTCATCTCTTCAGTGTTGGTATGACGGACCGATCATGCAAGGTTGTACAGGGGGCATCGTGCCCAGGTGCCAGGGAGCTGAGACAAGGGGGGGCGCCGAGAGGAGCGAGGGCTGAAAAGCATCATGGCCATGTAGATCACAGCCGTGTGAGTTGACAAGGTTAGCTATATTCTCTTCCAGCACTGCTCCCTCACCTGAGGTGATGCCGGGAGCCGGGTTATTTCAATGTACAATTAGGAACCCCACTCAATCCGCATAAAGCCAAGGGTGCTAAACTAGACCATGAGCCAGCACAAGCCCAATAGTGATAAATAACAATAACAGAGAAGAGGTCCAGGAACTCCTGTAGCTTCAGGCACATTTATTTGAACGTGAGGAACACTGCAACGTTTCGACCCAGATTAGGGTATTTGTCAAGCTTAACAAAGACCCTATTGTGGGTCGAAGCGTTGCAGTATACCCCGTATTCAAATTAGCGTGCCTGAGGCTACAAGAGTGCATGGATCTCTTCTTTGTTACTGGGAGCCGGGTTATGACATCACTCCCGGCCCCCGCATCACCGAACAGTGCGGGAAGAGAACAAAGATGACACTGGACCCCAGGGAAAGGATCCATCCAGCTCTCCCAAAGTAAAAATATAAAAAATAAAAATAATACAAAAATTATAATTTGTGAGTGTGTGAGAAATTGTGTGTGTCTGTCAGTGAATGCATGTGTCAGTGAGTGAATGTGCATCAATAAGTGTGTATGGCAGTGTCCACTGTGTGTGTGTAAGTGTCTTCTGTGTATGCGGATCGTACCAGTGCATGGCCTAGTGACTTGATAGCCTCAATGCTATCTCTCCATGTAAAACTATCCTGGTTATAGATGGGAGGTAAAGTTGTTGCCATAGAAACATGCATGTATGGACTGGACATTTATAAAGGGCAGGGATTTTTAAGATAACCACGCCCACCCATGACACCAGAAATAAATTCTTCACATAGGTGTCTGTAACCCTAGCATCTACCCTGGTTGGCAGTGGAGGTGAATTTCAAGTAAGAAGTCAAATCGCACAAAAAATGTTGTATTCCTTACAGTAGGGGGATTTCTGGGGATTCCTTGCACCATAACTACTACAGCATGCTGTGGTGCTTATAGTGGCTGTAGTGTTCCTTTAACATAGGACTTGCAAATTTTGGGAAAAATTTACCGGCTATCACCTATTTCACTTGCTCCAGAGTCAATCAAATTATTTTGAAATGGAAAAAAAAAGATCCTAAAGCTGTAATACCACAAACAAGCCAGCAGAGGGCAATGCAACACAGCGTAAAATGGCATGACCAGCAGCAAGTTCGCAGCTTTGTCACGAGTTAAAATGTTACATTAACGGCAAAATCGATATCTCCGAAATGGCAGAGAATTGAGCAGTGAGACTGCATGGGCATGATCTTTACACCAAAACCACTTCATTAAGCCCAAGTTGTTTTGGTGCCTATAGTGTCCCTTTAATCTATTCTCTGTGTCGTGTTAGCATTGCTTATTTTTTATTTGTACAGATCTCATTATTTTAAGCCAGGTGTGCCCAAAAGGTAGACCCCCTGACGTTTTAAAACGACATCTTGCTTTGTCATTCTAAAGGCATGCAAAGCATCATGGGAGTTGTAGTTCTGCAACATCTGGGGATCTACCTTTTAAGTAAGTTAAAGTAAGAACGTGTTACTGGACTCTGACAGCAGCTTGTTATGATTAGTCTTGACATGGCATGAGGGCGCACATCTAATGACCATTGAAGTTACTAAATAACCTCCATTTATTTCAATATACACAGGAATGTGGGAAGAACTCAGGTAACTGTTTTTTTTTTTTCTTTCGTTTTTATTGTATGAATTGGGGCTGATGTGTGCTATGGCCGTTGCTGCCGCCCAGGAGTGATGGGAGTTTGAGCGCAGGACTTATATTTGTGTATTTATATTTTAACCCCTTAAGGACACATGACTGAAATATTCCGTCATGATTCCCTTTTATTCCAGAAGTTGTGTCCTGAAGGGGTTAATTAGCGCTGCATTAAATGGGGCTTATTAACTAAATGATGATCCGGGGAGGACAGACAAGGAATTTCAATTTGCAGCTCACTGAATTTATATCTCAGCTTTGGCCTTATATTTGCAGCTCTCTGATCAGTTCTGCATTTCTCATTTATGCAAATAAACCTCCCAGCGTCAACGCTATTTTGAAATTTCATGTAATTTCTTACAGGCATATGAAATGGAAGCGTTAAAGTCAGGATAGCGAGCAACGCATTGGCAGGATCAGGATGAATGCAGGAATGATGCTACAATGATACTAATTTTTCACAAGGAAACATACTCCGAGTTAGTCACTCTAGTGAACATTCACTGTGAATTCAAAGTGGAGTTCAGATTTAACATCAAAGTAGCCAAACAAGAACACAAATCTCTAAATCCATTATGATTGCGGTTTATCTACTCTGGCCTTAAATTTGAAATTCACTCGGAATTCTCACGTAAGTAAGTAACCCTGTTTATTGCGTACGTAGCTCTTGTTGTCATTTGTTAAAACATAGACCGAGTAATTCACTGAACTCTGAATTGCAGTGAATTGAATTCAAAATGGGAAAACCGAGGCTAAAATAAAATAGTAAAAATTGGAAAAACCCGAACTAACCTACATTTTCCCAGTTGGATTTCAATCCCCTACATTTGGGAGTTTAGTGAATAAAATCCCAGAAAAATAAAATTCTTAATAATATTTCCATAATATCCATTCAGGCGGATCACTTTAAAAGAACCAATTTATCCCTGGCTTCAGTGACGCAGATCACGACCAGAGGAACAGAATTAGGAGAAGCCTTTCTTATAGACGGCAAACTCAAGTACTTACCCCGACCGCTAGACCGTCATTAACATACTGCCCCGAAGTCTGTATTATGTCACTCTCACAGGGTTACTCACTAAGGTGGGAATTGTCAGTCATTCAAAGGGAATTTCAAATACAAGGCCAAAGTAGCCAAACTGAAAGCATAGCTGATTTGGAGAATTTTTCCAGCGTGGCTACTTTGGTCTTAAATCTGAAATCCACTTTGAATTCCTGACAATTCTCTCTCTGTGTGTAAATAGAGATTTAGTAACTCTACCCCCCAGCCCAGTGAATGATTTGGTCATTAGAGATACTGTGTTTACATTGATACATGTCTGATATTCCACTGATGAAGTGCATAGTTTCCTACCCTGTGATTGCCACACTGAACCCATCTATACCGCAAGGCACAATAGCTTCACCCAAAAATCGCAGTGTGGAGAGATATAGCATTTTTATTCACATGTTAATGAAAGTCTCCCATTTGATCTATTAGTCAATGTGTTACTTGTCCGAGATTAATTCGTTTCCAGTTTACATTTCACTGTAATGATCAGAGCTCGCGAATGTCCCTTTTTACCAAACAACGTAATAGAACCAGACAGTTAATACAGACAGACAAACGTGCAGATATTTATTGTATATCGGATTATTTTCCTAGATTGCAAGTTCTAGGGGTCAGATTTTCTCCACTGTTGGTGTGAACGTGTCATACATTTCTATAGATGTTTTTCTGTACGTCACAACAGGCAATGTCAGTGCTTTACGGCGGCATGTTCAGGGTGGTTCCATCCAGGTTTTTGACATTTTTGAGACCCTGGAAGATCGCCCTATATTCCGGCTGTCTAGGATGTATCACTGTCACAATATGGTCTCTGTCCGTTACAGAAGAATTGTCACCATTTAGTTGTGACGTTAATGCTGTCAGTCTCTGGGTGCCTCATTCCTGTCACTGCAGAGACTCCAGGGATGAGTAAATTAGTAGATTCCAAACACCGAGACTGAAAAAGAAAAGGGTCTCGCAGGTTAACGTTCACAGAAACTGACAAATGACAGCAACAAGCATGGAATCTCGCTGAAACATTTCCGCTTTTCACAGTAATTACATGTCTTTCTTTTTTTTCTTCTTCTAACTTTCAAAACCTTATTTTCTTTTGATTTGTTTTTAAAGAACATTTCAAGCACCATAACTACAACAGCACACTGCAGTGATTATGGTGCCAGGAGTGCGGCTCCCACTAGGGTCTTAAAGATATTATGCTGGCAAAGCATCAGGGAAGATGTAGTCCATATTATCTGGAGTGACGATGTTGCCTACTCCTGCTCTAGAGCAAGTGTTACTCTTTCCGACTCTTACCGCACGTTTTCTTTAGGAATCCTGTTCGTGTACAAAGATCTTCTTTTTGATGCTCTCAAAAGATGCCGCATGGGCTGACGAACCTGAGATTGACATTAATATTTCACCATTCTCAGATCAGACAGTCCTGGGGACACCTCTTATTCAACAGATGAGTTACGGTGGGCAAGGCTCGGGATAGCGAGGACGAATTAACTAGAATACAAGAGGAAAAACAATGACCTTATCATATTAAATGGAACTAAGTATAGATTAACTTGGGGCATGCAAAACGAAATATGCTATATATTTATGTTTTATTTTATTTTAAAAATTTAAAACAAACCTAACGGGAAAAATGTAGTGATCAATTAGGAGTAACCATTATAGTAACCGATGTAATAGGTTTATTGATTCATCCACATTTTGTCATTCACTTGTTTCATTTTATATATTTCTATAACCAGGGGAATGCCATAGGCACCAGAACAACTTTAGCTTAATGAAGCAGTTTTGGTGTATAGATCATGCCCTGCAGCCTCACTGCTCAATTCTCTGCCATTTAGGAGTTAAATCTCTCTGTTTATGCAGCCCCAGGCACACCTCCCTGCATGTGACTGACACAGCTTTCTTATACACTTTCTTATAAAGAGAGTTCTAATGTTTACACTTCCTTTATTGCACATTTTGTTTAAGTTAGAATTTCCTATCTCCTGCGCTGTTAATAGAGACTCTGCACGAGCCTCCTGTGTGTGATTAAAGTTCAATTTAAAGAGCAGGAGTTGGAAACTTCTAAAGCAAGTTAACATCTGATTGTAAATGAAACCATTTTTTTTCATGCAGGCTGTGTCAGTCCCAGCCAGGGGAGGTGTGTCTAGAGCTGCATAAACAGAAACAAAAGTGATTTAACTCCTAAAAGGCAGAGAACTGAGCAGTGTGACTGCATGGGCATGATCTATACACCCAAACTACTTCATTAAGCTAAAGTTGTCTTGATACCATAGTATCCCTTTAACCCCAAAATGTATCAGAGAAAGAGAGAAAGAAATGATACACAATACTTCTCAGCTATGAGAGAACGAAACACAGAAATCTAGAAAAATCTAAAACAGTCTTGGTTTACAGACATACGCAGCCAGCAGTTTATTGTAGTTAGGTGCGAGATGTGAAATGTGTTTTAATGAAAGACAAGAGGAAGACATTAGGTAAATTGGTCATGATGAAAAAGGTAACTTTTGTTTAGGTTTCAACCCCAAATTTATAGTAATTTTTTAAAAAGGGTATTTTTACATTTATTTTTTAAATCCTTTCTTGTGTGCAGACCACCTCCCAGCCGACTAAATGGTATCAACATCCCCAACACTTTGGGGTCATTGTCTCGTATCATAAGTAGTGACACTGCATAGCAGTTACTGTCAATGGTTTTAGATGTTGAAGCTCTACAGTAGGTGTTTTTTTCCTCCTTTGACTTTAGTTTGAGATAAAACTGTACATGTAACCTGATATACAATGCACTTTGATTTTATTATTATTATTATTATTTATATAGCGCCAGAAAATTCCATAGCGCTGTACAATGGGGTAGATGCATTTATTTTTTTGGGTCAATACCGACTGTCACGTAGTAAAAAATAAATAAAAATAATTAATCATAGTGGCGTTTAGTAAAGTCCTGATCTGCACCGGAATCAGCAAAATTAGATCAACGTAACAGTTTTCTGACCGATTTTGCATATTTACTAAGGGCTAACGTGGTCAGAATTCAGAACATATAATCTGACCGTCTTCAGTGTCTGCTTTAAAATCAGTAATCCCCACGTGGAAATCCTACAGAAAATATAAGGTTTGAATATTTATTAAGCTCCAAACTTAAACCCGAGTTTCACTCTAAAGAAATCCGGTAGAGGACAAACTTTGCAAAAAATTCACCTGCTTTTTGCATGTTAACCTATGGAAGCACACAATATTTTCACCAGTGGACAAATGGTTTAAAAAAAACTTGCTCAGACATACCTTTAAAACACACGTAAATATAATGTCTCTTTATAAATCGCTGGTAAGACCACACCTTGAATATGCAGTGCAATTTTGGGCAGCTGTTCTAAAGAAGGATATCATGGCACTGGAGAGGGTCCAGAGACGAGCTACAAAATTGATAAAAGGAATGGAGCATTTTAGTTATGAAGAAAGGTTAAAAAAATTAAATCTGTTTAGTTAGGAAAAACGGCGCCTGAGAGGGGATATGATAACGTTATACAAATATATTCGGGGCCAGTACAAACCTTTATCTGGAAATCTATTCATAAACAGGGCTATATATAGGACACAAGGTCACGCATTTAGGCTGGAAGAGAGGAGATTTCATCTAAGGCAAAGAAAAGGTTTTTTTTACAGTGAGAGCAATAAGGATATGGAATTCTCTGCCTGAAGAGGTGATTTTGTCAGAGTCCATACAGATGTTTAAACTGAAATTGGATAAATACTTACAAAAACCTAACATACAGGGATATAATGTCTAATTAGTGGGGTAATAGCTGATTGATCCAAGGAGACATTTGACTGCTATTTTGGGGTCAAGAAGAATATTTTTCCTGGTTTGTGGCAAACTTGGAAGCGCTTCAGACCAGGTTTTTTGCCTTCTTTTGGATTAACAGCAACAACATTTGTGAGGAAGGCTGAACTTGATGGACGCAAGTCTCTTTTCAGCCATCTAACTATGTAACTATGTAATAGGATATCTAATGGAAACTTAAATTATTATATACTGTAAGCTGGTTTGAGCAGGGTCCTCTTCAACCTATCATTCCTGTAAGTTTTCTTGTAATTGTCCTGTTTATGGTTAAATCTCCCCTCTTATAATATTGTAAAGCGCTACGGAATCTGTTGGCGCTATGTAAATGGCGAGAATGATAATATATACAGTGATTAACTTAAGTATTTTGTATTTATTGGGTGCATTGGATCCCTTTGTAGAGTTAACCCGTTCTCACCAGGATTTACCTGGCAGACTTGCTACTATTAACTTACTGTAATGACAGTTTGATTCAGAATTGGACACTTTCTATCTGCAAATTCCCTCGAATTGAATTGCACTTATTTGATTGAACCGAATTTTCCGATATACAGAGATCAATGCTGTTCAAACTCTGATTCATATTTCCATAATCTGGCATAACGCTTGAATCCAGACAGGTTGAAATCTAGAGCTTATCTAAAAATAGTGGAAAAAAAACCAAAGGTGCAAAAAATGAATAGTGCTAAAACACACCTGTGTTCAAGGTGTTAATCTGGAATCCAAGCATTCAAGGTGATTCAGAGAATTCTTTGCAAACTCTGGGCACTGATACACCTTGAGAACAATTTATAGATATTGCAGTCCAAACGCCCCTAAGTGGACGAGTTATTTTTGCTAATCTGAACCAGGTGCATTCTTAATTAAGGGAATAAACCCATATGGATTTTTTTTTGGGTTGTACAAAAATTAACAAGAAGTTCTGCTAAAATAAAGTATAATATATTTTTATATTAATGTGAACTTGAGCAAATTGAAGATATACATGTGTGTGTTTTAAATATACTGCGACATTGTTTAAATTAAATTCTCACTTACATTTTGAAAAAAAATTGAAAGATGTTCCCCTCTCCCTCCCACCTCTTGTGTTGGTTGGGGGGGGAGGGGAGGATATTTCTATTATAAAAAAAATTAGCTTTTTCTTTGCAATTGGGGTATGTTCCTAATCAGCGGGAAAAGTATTTCAAAATTATTTCTTTATTCAGAATCGTATTATTTCTTTCTCTATCTTTTAATGTACTTAAAGTGCTATTCAGTTAAGATCGAATGCAAGCAAGTCTTATAAGAGGATTGAACATTTTATCATAAGTGCAATCCAAGTTGCCCCATAATGATTTGCAAGATGCCTTAGTAACACTATTTTAATATCTTGAAGACAGATGATTTGATTAAAATAAATTAATTATTTTAATGGTTGTTTTTAGCTAATCGCCCACTTTAGCCAAACATTACTATAATTAATACATATACACATAGCATTATTTCTCCTGTCATCACTAAATCTATGAATGCAGCACTTAATAGCCTAATCAGAAATACATATATTTATTTATAAATAAGATAAAACAATTAATCACTAGTGTTTCGAAGAGAATATTTTGTACGTTGGTTGTCAGTCCCTCATCTCACTTAATCTTATATTGAACTCAAAGGAATTAGAACATCGAGAATTTTTGTCAATCTACGAACAATAGGATTTATTTGCTAAACTGGAAAATCGTTTGACATTGACAAAGAAACTACAAGTTTATGGTCCAATTAATTGAACTGTAAACATTTTAGCCCCAGAATTCCCAGTTTAGTGAATAAATTAAAATATCAATTTAGGGCGGAAAAATGATTTAGATGAAAATGCAATTAGGTATGCCAACATATTTTACATGTAATTCAAACCAGATCATACCAATGAGCCAAATACATTTTTGTTAATTGATTGTTGATAATTTCAACTATAAATACTATTTATTTAAAAAAAAAATATATATTTTTTTTAAATTAAGAATTTATTCTCGCGTTCAACACCAGTCCAACCTAACCTGACTGAGCTCATACACCAGGTATCAGCTTAGAAAGGCGGGTTGGAAGAATAAAACTAGAATTTTATACTCAACTCTTAAAGAACTTTATTAACTTAATAGTAAAGTGTGTGGAGTTGAAAACTAAGGTTGTAAGACTGACCTGACAATGATCCTACTTAGAAATGTTCTTGTCACGATGTGACGTAGAACTTTCTAGATCAAAAAATGTGCCAATTATACTGCGGCATAAACCTTACTTTTGTCACATATTGAGCTGAGAATTTTTTAAAAATTTGCAGCAAGTTGGACGTAATGATGAAACGCCCTCCATACTGTCCCGTGTTGGTGAGCGCACTTGCCATGATCTTGTTACAGTTTTTCCCAGAGTGGCAGATTTGGTCTAAATTTTGCAAATCGGTTCAAGCTCACCCCAACTGTTTGATTTTACGGAACAAACCCCAAGTTTATTCTCCACAAGTATTTCTAATACCAGAGATAAGATAGCGTAGCACCAAGAAAAATGAAAACGAATGTCCCAATGCCCGGCTCATTGATGCAAATCTAGGACATGTTAGTAAAATGTCTAATTGGGTCCCACAGGATTGTTTTAATTTAATAGTAATGCAGATTAATGCTCTGAAGACTTATCCCTGTTTTGCAACATCTGGTAATATCGAAAAATTGCATATTTCGCCAGGCGAGGCAGGGTTAGTGGAAAGTTAGAGAAAGTTTTTATTTAATTGTGAAAACTTTTTGCACTGTTTATCTGTTTAACGAGCTGTGTCCCTCCTGTATGACTTGAGATGTAACCATTTATTCTACGCCAGTGCTACATCCGATCTAGCACATATCTAACCCTCATTCTACAAACATAGACAGACTAGACAAACACTTACCTGGCAGGTGCAGCACTGAGTTTGTCTTAATCAAAAGGAGATTAGAGTGTCAGAATGCACGTTATAAACCCATGCCCTGCCTCCACCCCCCCCTTCCCCCTCATTCTAAACGGCTATTAGACCAGGGTGGTTTAAGGTTTCCTGTGTTTGACAGGGGAGGTGCGTGGTTAAAAGTTTCCATAGAAAGCCGGACAACTAACAGCTACAGGTCGGTACCTGAGGCTTCATGCACAGAGACAGGCACATACACAGCGTTCTACAAATCTTATCCCAGAGGGTAAAGAAAGGCCTCGGTGTTCATGAAAGAGAGCAGAAATGTTACTGCAATGATAATAATAAGGTCACAGGCCCCTACAGCTGTATGCTACGCCTGGGACATTATTTGGAGCCTAAATTTCAATCGATTTTGTTGTAATTTTATTACTATTTTATTTAAACTACATACCTAACAACATTTTAAAGGTGAATACAAAAATGATTTAACCCCTTAAGGACACATGACATGTGTGACATGTCATGATTCCCTTTTATTCCAGAAGTTTGGTCCTTAAGGGGTTAAACACTCTAGGACTACTTATTAACCAAAATGAAGCCATGTGCCCCCCCTCACCCAATGAACAGTATTTGAGGGGTTAAATCTAAACCCGTTGGCTTCAATGGTGCCACCAATCAGGTGAAAGAACTAGAGAGGCAGGGAGTGGGGTGACAGAGATTCTTTAATATTCTGTGCCAGCACTGCAGATTATATACTACAATCCCCATAATACCATGCATTGAGGACTTCGTTCTTCTTGCTGAGCTCCAGTTGTACTGACATACAAGGAAACACCTTTCAATCTCTATTTAATCTGTCAGGACCAGTCAATACACAGTATGGCAAAATGCAGATCCAAAACTACAGGTCCTATGATGTGTTGGCATTCTAAAGGCGTGCAAAGCATCATGGGAGTTGTAGTTCTACAACATCTGGAGAACTACCTTTTGGGCACCCCTGCAGTATGGTAAATGGAACACTGTCAATCAGGAAAAAAACAGACTTCCTGGAATTTTCAGCACCCTGGACAGTGATCCTCCCCAAATCCTTCTAAAAAGCATATCCAGATTTTTATGTATTTTGTTAGTTTTTTTTTTCCTGGAACCTGTTTCACAAAATAGACAAAATGTTTATCTGTGTACAATGATGTCGTTACTAAAGCTGGGAGGAATTATTGTAACAAAACTCCTATCATTCTAAACCATTCTCACTCTCAAATTGTAGATACAAACAGCTGCCAATCTAATGTACACAATACAAATTATTGCATATAGATACATATCAGTGCCATGTTTATGAAGTAGCTTCATTCATGTTTTTTTTCTTGGGAGCTATTCACTAAGCTGTGAATTTTGGAGAATTACAAGTTATAGGCAGGTTAACCGAGGTGTAAAAATCTGTGTTCAGGGGGAAAGGGTGGGGGGAGGGTCACCGAGAGCAGTCGCATGTCTGCAGTTCTCCGGACTGAAATTGGAGAAACTAGCAATACATACCAAAAAATCAGCAGTGCCCTATCTACAACTCGGCTTCTAAACCATATCACACTATGGGGAAAGGAGCAAAAAAGTTTAAAACCTACTCAGATGACGGCACACGAAGAATCTGAGGCATATTCCTGGCACGGCCTACACCTAAAATGATGGCAATGCCAAACTCCCAAGGCCTATCCTTGGAGGAGGACCCACTGGACTCCCCAGACGCCATACCAGAGGCGGAGAACCCATTCTCGGCTATACAATTAGGAGACCTGGGGGCTCCTGCAACAAAGGAGACATTCTGAGCCTACTGAAAACACCTGCGCACATGGTTCCGCACAGATATAGTGGTGCTCCGTGAAGAGGTTACAGCCATCACAGACAGAGCAAAGTCCACAGAAGAGGACGTCTCCTCCATAGCACAATGCCAGCCAGGTGCAACGGAACAAATACAACAACTCCAGAGCTCTCACCAGTTCCTACAGACCAGAATAGATGCAATGGAGGATACCAGGAGACGCATTAATATAAAAATCAGAGGTATTGCCGAAATGGTTCATGACACGGAACTACCCCACTTCATCCGGCGCCTTCTTTCGACGATCCTGCAACACAGGCAGGTGAAGACCATACAAATGGAAGGATCACACAGGCTCCCCAAGTATCCCAGGGCACAGGCAGGTGCACCCCACGATGTTCTCTTTCGATTCCAGTCCCTCCAAGATAAACAAGCAGTGATGAAGAAATGAAACTCAAGAACAAATGCCCAGTCCCATTCAAAGAATCACAACTCACCTTTCTGCAGGACAACACTGGATTGGAGATGCTCAGTCAGCCGGGTCACTAGGACCCTCCGAGAGGCTGGTATTCAGTACAGATGGGGCCCATCACGCACATTCGTGGCAACCCAGGGAGAGACCACATACCCACTCTCATCGGCGACAGAATCTGACCCTTTCCTCCGCAGCTTGGGGCTGGGTGGGCCCAAAGCCAACACTTCCAACCCTGGGTGCTCCTGGGATACACCTAATATCGTCCCCTTTGTACCTCGTTTTGAGACCGACACAGAATGAAACATCACCAGTGGACTTGGGCTTAACTTTCCCTCCTTGCGGAGAAGTGTGCTGATGGACTGGACATATAATGTTAGTTTAGCTTTTATTTTAGTACCGCTTCTATAATTTCCAGCTGCTTTTTTTTTTCTTCAAATTTGACAATTTTTATTGTTTTGTCATTTATCAGAAACTTGAGGGTACAGAAAAAGAAACAGGGGGGTGGGGGAGGGGGGGGGGTTGCAAGTATGTTACAAATTGTTCATAATCACTTCCTTTGAACACATTTTGGAACATTGCATATATCATTGTTTTACTGTTTTTTACATTTTGGTAATTGTACAGTTTATTGCTGTGTGAAATAGTGTGAGGGCTCAAACCTTTTACAATGCTGTGGTCAATATCACTTATTTAGTCGCCTTAGGGTGGTATGATATGTTTAGGATATACTATAAGGCGGCTCAGGCTCTAAGCTGGGTTTACAGTTCTTACTTCTTTGGGTGTTTGGAGTAGGTGTACTCACACTTATTAGCTTGGCTTCCCCGTATATTATCATGGCACCATTGGGGACTGTGTCTTTTTACGCGCTTGTGGTTTTGGTCGTGGGGTCGTCCTTACAATAGGCGGTTCCCTGGTATATCTCCTTTGTACTTTTCCCAGTTATCCCAAGCTATTTCCCAGTATCTTCTATATTTTTTATGGTTTTTGTTGGGGGGTGTGTTTTGTCGCCTCATTGTGATTCGAAGTGGCTGGATTGGCTTATGTGTCGTATGCACATTGAAATAGGGGGTATTGTTTGTGAGAGCCAATTTTGTGCTAAGGCGCCTAAGGCTACTATATGTATATGGAATATAAGATATCTGTCTGGTTTGGGTATCGACTCTGGGATATCGAAGAGTACATAATGTTCCAGTCTGTGTGGTAAGGCGTTCCCTGTGCTGTCTTTGATGAGTTTGGCTATATCTTTCCAGTATTGTTCTAGAAGTGGGCATGTCCACCAAATGTGTGCCATTGTCCCTATACTTGTTTTGCATCTCCAGCACTGTGTTGAGATAGCCTGGTTATATTTGTGTAGCCTTATTGGCATTAGGTACCATCTGTATAGGAGTTTTTTGGCGAGCTCTATATGCTTTGAACAGAGAGAGAAGGTTTTGGGGGTTAAAATCATGCGTTCCCATTCTGGTTCAGTGAATGCTTTTTGGATCTCTTTTTCCCATGCAGTGATGAAATTGTGTTCGTGCATTGTACGTTTCGTGGGTAGTGCTGCGTAAATAGAGGATATGGTTTTCAGGGGTGGTTTGGTTCCTATGTACATTTTCTCAAATTCCGTCATCTGTTGTGCCTTGGTGTTAATTGCTTTCTCCTGAAACTGTGTGTGTAGCCATGAGGCTAGTTGGCGATATGAGTAGTGTGCTACCGTTGGTAGTTTGTGAGAATCTTTTAATTTGGTGAATGTTGTTAAACCCGTGTTGATAATTATCTGGTGTAGGAATTGTATGCCATGTCTTTCCCAGATTCTGTAGTTAAAATCAGGAATGATGTGCGCAAATGATTTAAGTGGCATGGCTTTGGAGATTAGTGAGTTATTTGTTAGGGTAGGCCGGTTCGTGTCCCAGATTTTTAGGGACAGTGTAGTGGTTGGTAGGCAGTCCTGTATTTGCGGTCTTTTGTGTGTTGGTATCCACACTAAGTTGTCATTACTAGCATTGTCAGCCCATTCTGCTTCTAGGTGCTTCCATTGTGGTGCATGTGTACCTGGTCTTGCTTGAGTGATGCTGCTTAGTATGTTGCGTGGTAGTACTGTTTGAAATTTGGCGTATTCATGCCCCCTTCTCTTAGTGGCATTTGCATGACCTTTAGGGCTCTGCATTCTCTTAAATCATTCCATATGAATCTGGTTACCCAGCGTTGGATTGTGGTAAAATAGGTGGGGGGTATTTGGATCATTAAGGATCTGAATAGATATAATAATTTGGGGAGAATTATCATTTTGACTGCCGCTATGCGGCCCGACCAGGATATGAGGGATGTTTTCCAGTCTTGTAACTGTTTTTTTATTTCTGTACTCAATTTGCCGTAATTAGCATTGAATAATGCGGTGTGTGATTTTGTGAAGCGTATGCCTAAGAATGTGATGTAATCGTTTCTCCAGTCGTATGTGTATGTGTTTTTTAGTCTGTGGGTTACCTCTAGGGGGAGTCCCTTACTCAAGGCTTGCGTCTTGGATATGTTCAGTTTGTAGTGGGACATTTTACTGTAGTCTTCTAGTATGGAGTGAAAGTGTGGTAGGGATGTGTCTGGATTTTGGATCGTCAGTGTGACGGACCCGCTGGCACTCCGACCGAGTACCTCCGCCAATCGATGCTCCTAGTGCTTGCCGAGGACTCCAAGCACTCCAACCGACACCATCAGCACTGCAGACTTATCCCATCCCCCAAGCATGAGCCAAGGCTTCAAGAAAGGGTCAAGCAGGTCTGTTTAATGAGCACACCAAGCAACAGCACTCACGCAGCAAAACAACTCCTCCTCAGAGGAAAACAAACTGACAGTTAAAGACAGACAGCGTTTGGAAATATGACAGTTATTAAGGGTTTAAACTGGTGTTCTAGGAGCGAGGGGAATAAAACAGTCAAACTAAGTCCATAAAACAGGGGTTGTCTTCACACTCTGCATCCGAAGTGCATAGCAAAACTGCAGATCCTTTGTCAGAGCATTTAAAGGGCCAGAACCAGTCTAATAAAATCCACTATGCTCAAATAACATACAGTTCAAATACAGGCAATAATCAATGCAAAAGTCTCTTGTGGCTGCTTCTGCCATAATGCTCCCCCAGAACCAAGCCGGCATACACAGTCTGATCCCAACGGATCTGCTTGGGGATGTCCAGAGGAGTGCTCACAGATCATTTCTCGAGTTCTGTCTGTCTGGACAACCCATCGGCGTTACCATTTTGTTTCCCTGGGCGATACTGGATGGTGAAATCAAATGGTTGTAGTGCCAAGCTCCATCTCAGTAGTCTAGCGTTGTCCCCTGACACCCGGTTTAGCCACACCAACGGGTTGTGATCTGTGAGCAAGGCAAATTGTTGTCCATATAAGTAGGGCTGTAGTTTCTTGAGGGCCCACACCACCGCCAGGCATTCCTTTTCGATGGCGGCATAGCTTACTTCCCTGGGTCGTAGTTTCCGACTTAAGTAAGCGACTGGATGCTCGCTGCCATCGGCCCCAACTTGGCTCAGCACTGCTCCCAATCCAAACATAGAAGCGTCTGTATGAACGAGAAAGCGTTTAGTTGGATCGGGAGCAGCCAGTACAGGGGCAATTATATAGGTGGTGTCACATACCTGTTCCACCACCCTATAAGGGCCTTGTCAGGAGGCCTGCAGTTTGTCATTTTGGACTGGCTTCAAGATTAACACCTTTTGTCCTATTTGAAAACTGCGGTCTCTGGCTCCTCTATCGTACCATCTGCGCTGTCGTTGCTGGGCCGCCTGGAGATTAGACCGTACCGTCTGGATTAGGGTCTCCAAGCGTTCCCTGAACTCTAGTACATATGGGACGATAGGGGTACCGTTACTGGTGACCGTTCCCTCCCAGTGTTCCCTAATGAGGTCAAAGGGACCCCGCACTCTCCTTCGAATGGCGAGAACCCTGTGGACTCCTGGGGTACCTCTCGGTACGCGAAGAGCAGATGGGGAAGAAACCTTTCCCAGTCCTTCTGGGTATCCATGAAGGTACGGAGCATTTGCATTAAGGTTCCGTTGAACCGTTCACAGAGGCCATTGGACTGGGGGTGATACGCTGAGTTTACAATAGGTTTCACCCCACATGTTCTCCATAACTGATGAGTGACTTCGGCTGTGAATTGGGTACCCCGATCTGAGATAATCTCTTTGGGGAACCCCATTCTGGAGAATATCCGGATTAGGGCATCTACTATAGTCTCCGCATGGATATTAGTCAGGGCTACGGCCTCTGGGTACCGGGTGGCATAGTCTACTACGGTTAGTATATACTTCTTCCCTGACAGGCTGGGTTTTGCTAGGGGTCTGATTATATCTACTGCCACTCTACTGAAGGGTTCATCTATTATGGGTAGGGAGTGCATTTTTGCCTTGTACCGGCCCCCTCTCTTCCCTACTCTCTGGCATGTGTCACAAGTTTGGCAATACTGCCGAATATCTTTGGAGTCCCCTGGCCAAAAGAAGTTTTGGGTCAAACAATGCTTTGTCCTACTGATGCCTAGATGTCCTGATAAAGGGATGTCATGGGCAATACGTAGTAATTCTTGCCTGTACTTTCGGGGCACGACTAATTGTGTGAGGGTCATGGGTACAGATCCTGCTACTACCTTCTCAGCATATCTATACAATAATCCTTTCTCCCAAACGTATCTTTCCCCCTCCAACCCTGCCTGATTCTGTGTAACGCTATCCCGGTATACCTGCAGGGATGGGTCGGTGACTATTTCAGTACCAAATTCTAACGGGGGAGCCCAGGGGACGAAAGGTGGGTCAGTACTGTTACTTACCGGAGCCTCATAGTGTTCCGAAGATGCGGTGGTGCGGGCCTGCTGCCGTGTTATCACGGGTAGCGCTTCCTGCGCGGGGTGCTGAGAAACAAAAGCGGAGGTCAGTTCCCCCAAGTCGTTACCCAGGATGACATCAGCTGGTAAGTCCTGCATGAGGCCCACTTCCACATTCCCCGACCCCGCTCCCCAATCCAAACGTACTTTAGCAGTGGGAATTTTGTAAATCGCTCCCCCTGCCACCCGGACTGCCACATATTCTCCAGTGAGCTGGTGCTTGGGGACTAGGTGATTGCGAACCAGGGTTATGGTGGCCCCAGAATCGCGCAGACCCTGAAGGCGTTTTCCCTCTACGTGTACCCCTTGGCGGTGTCCCTGTCGGTTGTCTGCAGCTGCTTGTACTGGGTTAACCTCGTGGAGGGTGCCCAAAGATTCTTCATTAGACCGGGTCCCGAAGAAAGGTTGTTGAGGCTCACTCTGGTAGCAGTGTACTGCTGCCCGGTTTGCAGGGGAATTAGTTGGAGTATTCCACGTGGAGCGGTTTCTGTTTCTGGGACAGTCTCTCTGCATGTGGCCCTGCTGGTTACACGTGTGACACCTGATGAAAGATCGGGCATTGTTGTACCGTGGAGGGGTTTGGTAGTTCCCACCACCCGGACGCAGTGCTGGGGTGGGGTTAATGGTGGGAGGTGGGTTAGCAGCTCCCAAGATGGACCGTGCCTGTGCCCGCTGTGCCCTCCTGGCATCTTGGTACTCGTCTGCCCACCTGGCGGCGTCAGTTAAGATGCGCGGTTTCCGATCCCTCAGCCAGTTTTGTAAATCCGGGGTTAACCCCTGGAAGAATTGCTCCAGTAGCAGTAATTGTAGCATGTCCTCCACTGTGGTTGCTTGTGCGGCTTGCACCCAACCTTTGCCCGCCCTAGTTAAGCGGTGTACCCACTCCATGTGAGTATCTTTCTCCGTCTTTCGGCTTTCTCGGAACCGCTGCCGGTATGCCTCCGGGGTAATTGCATACCTGTCCAGGATCGCCTGCTTTACTTTCTGGTAGTCTCTGCTATCCTCGTCTGGCATGGTGCGGTAGGCTTCTGCTGCCCGGCCCGCTAGCTTACCCACCAACAGGGGTACCTGGTCGGCGGCGTTGATCTCATGTAATTGGCATAACCTTTCAAAGTCATGCAAGTAGCCATCAATGTCTTCGGTCTCCACATAGTTTTTAAAAGCATGGTACGGGATTTTAGGCTTCCCCGGTACTATGTGTGGTGTGATTAGGGACCCCTCTCTGGACCTCCGGTCTGCCCGCTGCTTTTCCATTATGTATTCGTGGACATCTGCCATAATCCTTTCCAAGGTTTCTGTGGGAGGCGTACCTGGGAAAAAGGCCAGTCTGCTTTGGAGTTCTCTTCCAAACTCATTCTGTGTGCTGTCCATAAGAGGTGCTGCAGCAGCTGCCCGGTCTCCCTCCATGAGTTCAGCAATAAGGGTAGCTTTGGTTTTATTGCTGGCAATAATTCCCCTTGCTTCCAATAGTTCTTTTAGCGTGGCCCGTTTCAAGTTGGTATAGTCTGTCCCCATTCACTATCCGTTCCTTTCGGTTCCATACGAAATAGCAAATTTCCCAAATGGCTGTAACTGCCGAACAACGGTCTGCTGTGAGGTTTGAATCCCGTCGCTGCCACCAATTGTGACGGACCCGCTGGCACTCCGACCGAGTACCTCCGCCAATCGATGCTCCTAGTGCTTGCCGAGGACTTCAAGCACTCCAACCGACACCATCAGCACTGCAGACTTATCCCATCCCCCAAGCATGAGCCAAGGCTTCAAGAAAGGGTCAAGCAGGTCTGTTTAATGAGCACACAAAGCAACAGCACTCACGCAGCAAAAACAACTCCTCCTCAGAGGAAAACAAACTGACAATTAAAGACAGACAGCGTTTGGAAATATGACAGTTATTAAGGGTTTTTAAACTGGTGTTCTAGGAGGGAGGGGAATAAAACAGTCAAACTAAGTCCATAAAACAGGGTTTTTCTTCACATTCTGCATCCGAAGTGCATAGCAAAACTGCAGATCCTTTGTCAGAGCATTTAAAGGGCCAGAACCAGTCTAATAAAATCCACTATGCTCAAATAACATACAGTTCAAATACAGGCAATAATCAATGCAAAAGTCTCTTGTGGCTGCTTCTGCCACAGTCAGTAATATGTCGTCTGCAAATAGTGTGAGTTTATGTTCTTTGCTTTGTGTTTTGACACCTGTAATTGATGGTTGTTGTGTAATGAGGGTTGTAAGGGGTTCTAGTGCTAATATGTATAATAGGGGTGAGAGGGGGCATCCCTGTCTGCTTCCGTTCGTGATTTTGAACGGGTCTGAAAGGAATCCTGCATTGGTTATTGGTTACTGGCGGTAGGGTTACTATAGAGTGCTTGCAGATCGTTCATGAATGCTGTTGGGAATTCAAATTTCGCTAGAGTCGCCCTGAGGAAGTCCCAGTATAGCCGATCAAAAGCTTTTTCGGCGTCTAGCGACATGAATAACCATCCCGTTTTTTTGTTTTTGTAGACTATATATTATATCTAAAACTTTCCTGGTGCCGTCCGTGCCTTGTCTGCCTTTTATAAAGCCGACTTCATGCACTAGGTCGGGGAGTATGGTGGCTAATCTGCTGGAGTAGATTTTTGCTAATAATTTTCCTGGTTTGGGCAATGTGGCCACATGAGCTGCAAGTATCTCCTGTGGAATTGTTCCTGTGTGGATTATGTACTGAAATGTTTGTTGTATGTATGGAATTAGTGTAGGTGCGAAGGTTTTGTAGTATTGGTTTGTTAGTCCGTCTGGTCCCGGTGATTTCCCTGTGGGCAGTCGGGAGATAGCATCTTTTAGTTCTTCCATCGTAATTTGTTCAGACAGTGCGTTTTTTTGTTCATTTGTTAGGGTTCATTTGCAGGTACCCCTCGATGTCTGAAGTGGTGGGTTGGTGTAGGGTTTTGTCTTCTCTTAGGTTATATAGGGCACTGTAAAAGGTCACTAGTTCCTTATTCATGTCTTTTGGGTTCCAAAGTTTTTGATTATCTTTGGAGAGGACGTATTGGATTTTAGCATTCGATTGCTTTTTGCGTAGCATGTTGGCCAGTAGTTTGCTAGCTTTATTCCCTTCGCGCATAATGGGTCATCTTAAATTTTTGTAAGATGTATGCTGTCTTTTGAAATTGTTGTTCATTGATTTTGGTGGTTATGGTTTGGATTTCCGTTAGGAGATTGTGTTGTTTTGTTTGGTAGTAGGTTTGAGTGGTATCTCTTAGCTTCATGAGCAGTTTCAAGTGCTGCTCGCTTTTGCTCATTGAGATATGATGCTCTGCGGATCAGCAGTCCCCATATGACCAGCTTGTGTACTTGCCACAAGGTAGGGGCTGTGATTTGGGTGGTATTGTTGATGGTGAAGTAATGTTTGAGTTCCTGGTCTAGTGTGGAGGTGAATTCCTGATCATAGAGTAGTGAGTTGTTCAGCCTCCATGAACCTCTGCCTTTATACGAGAATGCGTCAGTGAGTGTCAGTATCACTGGGGCATGGTCAGACCATATTATGTCACCATGTGTGCATTGGTGCGTTTGTGGTAGTCCTGTGCTGGTTATGAAAAAGTAATCTATCCTGGAATGGGTTTTGTAGGTGTAATCCTTATCTCTGGGTTGCAGTGTGCGCCACACGTCATATAAGTTAAATTGGATTAGGAGTTTATTAAGTATGGCGCAGGCCGGTGTAAGAGATTTTGATCTAGGTTTTGTTGCATTTAGCGTTGTGTCCCTTTCGGGGTCTAGGATATGATTCAGGTCTCCGCAGTATATTAATGTGCCTTGTTGTATATTGCTCACCTTGGTCAGCAGGCTTTGTAGGAAATCTCTTTGGTTGTCGTTTGGTGCATAGATGTTGACTATGGTGTATGTGACATCATTAAGGTTGCATATTAATATGAGATCTCCCATTACTGTCTGTGACTATTTTAATTGGTTCAAATGCTACTGATTTGTGCATTAGGATGCTGACTCCCCTGGATGTGGAGTGGTATTGGTTTGGAAATTGTTTAAGGCCTAAGGATGGCGATTTCAGTCTTTGGAAGTGAGTCTCTTGGAGGCATATCACATCCGCGTCATGTTTTTTTCAGTTCTGTAAGCAGCAGTTGGCATTTTTGGGGGGAGTTTAATCCCCGTACATTATGTGAGTATATTTTCATTAAGGAATTGGTCTAACGTGGGCTTATCATTGGTCGTTGGGTGATATAGTCTAAAGTTTGGCATGAGCTGGCCATGTGGCCTGGCCAATCTCCAGCAGACTCTCCCTCCCAGACCCTCCCACCTCCTGGACAGCATCCATGTTGAAGGCAGCTTCAACATGGATGCTGTCCAGGAGGTGGGAGGGTCTGCTGGAGATTGGCCGGGATGTGTCAGCTGACCGGAGCTCACCGCGAACGGTTCAAGTTCGCGACATCTCTACAGAAGAGTGTGTGAGTGGAAGTGGGTATACCATAGATCGGCCTACTTTCGTATTTACACGGCATGTTTGTGAGGAGGGGACCCGTAAAAAAAGTGGGTACGTGTCACGTCAGATTTGAGCAGAAGGATGACCCTTCCATAAAGATTCTATTATAATTTACATTGAGCAGTTCAGAGACCCTGTCAGTATTGATGGACAGCCAAGCATTATAGCAAATGTGGTTTACAAAGCTTATTCATTTATTATACCAATCGGCTGGGAAATAAAGAAATAGCCAAGAAATTCATGTGAAGTTAAAACTATAGCAGTTATACTGTTGAACTATTAGATATTGAAAAACCAATCGGTATAAGTTCCTACTCATTGCTCCACATTTCAGATATATTATTTTTAAACCACAGTGTTATTCACCAACATGAGAATTGCTGGGAATTTACAGTGATTTCAAATTTAAGATCCAAATAGCCAGACTGGAAAAATATTCCAAGTTAGCTATGCTGCAGGTTTCGGCTATTTTTGCCTTAAATCTGAAATCACTCTGAATTCCTGGCAACTCTCATATTGGTGAATAATCCTGCCAGTGTTTTTTAAAGCAGATTTGGGGGTTATGTATAAAGAGCAATTCTGGCGCAAAACGGTAAAAGTGGACTTAATCGCCATAGGAACCAATGGAACGCTCCATATTTAAAATGCCTTTTTTTGCCATTCATTCTTAATGAGATAAAAGAAAAACAAAAACAAAGGTGTGGCCCGTTTCATGAAGAAGGCTAGGACAATGACAAACATTCAGGACAATATAAAAAAAATAAAAATAAAAAAAAACAGAGAAAGGGGGTCTTTTTCTAATCCAGTTTACACAGAGAAAGTATGTGGTGATGGGTTGCCAGCATGCCTCGTTGTGTCTCTGGTGTATACAGCTGTAAGTGTATTGAAAGCATTCTGACAGGAGACATGACAAAATACACCAATAATATTAGCCGTTTCAGAATATTGTGGTCAGAATTTGGTTTTATATACAAAACAAGAAAATTTGACGTAAGGGCAAGAATCCCTCCCAGGCTGTTCAAACAGGGAGGTAGGGATACAAGGCAGGTATTATGTGAGGGCAATCAGACTTTACAAATCAAGCTGGTTCGTCCTCATCGCTCCAGTCTGCAGGCGCGTCTGTTCCAAAGTAACGATCCCCAAAATTACCTGTCACAGGCCAAGGAAGACAGTACATTAGGCAATGTGTAGTATAAGACCGGAATTCACAGCTAAATTCTTTAAATTCCTTTTTTGGATGTTTTTAAATAAAAATACATATTTGTTGTATACAAAAAAAACCAGCAACTTGTATATTGGAAAATGGAGACAGGAAGTGCATCAACTCTCTGTGAATTGCGGTCTCTGTGAATTGTGCTCAACCTGGTGACACCGACTAACTCTCAGGAGAGATTGGGGTCCTTGGACATTGGCTCTCGAATCAAATTCGGGCCTGGGGCTGGAGCAATAACGCTACAGGGACGCACTGGGACTCTCAGTATTTGAGGAATCGAGTGACTACAAAACGCCTTCTTTAAGATCCGGAATAGGCTGAAAATCACCTTATCAGGTCACTGGCCTCTCGGCAATGTATACCTGCCCTCACTTATAGTTGACACTTTATGTTTAATTCGTTATTCATTGATGTAGGTATGATCCCTATACCCATTGGCCTATCTGGTGAATATTTATTTAACTTATGCTGTATTTCTCACTCAGCATGCGTATATGCCGTCATCTAGTCGTATTTCCTCATAATGTTATATTACATTCCTGGTAAATCTTTAACTATCCTACACCTGGCTGTTACCCAACTTTATCGAACTGCTGATGCTTACTTTAAAGTAGACTTTACTTTCTGATATAATTCATATGTCATTTTCTTAACTTGAAAATGAGGTGTTGATGACTTTAACAATAGAAAATGACAAGCTATAATATTCATGTGAAACTTTGCTTTATAAATTTGTCTGCATGTATTGTACAGCCATTTGCCTCAATAAAAACAGATTGTCCCCAAAAAAATAAAAAAAAGTTATTTCAATCAGGAAGCCGAGGTGCTAAAATTAGACTACTGCTTTCTACACTTTGTTTTGGCAGGGATCCAACGTAGGAACTTGATAGTAGCTTGGCCACCCATTTGAAAAGCTGTTTCATTTTAGCAGCGATTCATAATTCAATTATACTATGTAATAAAACAAGTTCACAAAACATCTTCGTTAGTTTTATCCCAGGGTTAGAGGAAACAATGACCATATTGAGGACAGTTGGCAGGGGCCAAACTGATTTGGTGTCTCCTCTCCATTCTGGTCAGAAAAGACATGGAATATAATGGTGGTGTTTTGGTTCCCTGACCCAAGAGCCACTGATTTATGCACATGCCTGAAGGAACGCTGCCAAATGGGTCTGTGTCAGTCTTGGTCACACGTACCAATTCCTGGGATTATGCGGAACAAGTCGTTGACTTTCTTGTCCACTGCTGTGGTGAGGATGCGCACACGTGGGAATGCGTAGGCCACGGAGTGTACTCCCAGTTCTGCCATTAGGAGCGATAACAGGAAGATCTTGTCCTCTGGAACCTCATGGTCCTGTTTAAAGAAAGTCACAGTTTGAGAAGATAAAGGGTCCATAAAGTCAAGACACAGATACATGGAGATTCGATGGAACATGAAGGTTCGATCAGCACATTCATACTGAGTCCAACCATTAGGTCTCACCAGCAACACACGGACGGCCATCATAGCAGCGGCTCCTGTGGACACGGTACAATCCATAAGAATCACATGGTCCTCACTGATATCCTTTGGGAGCCTCAGGTAATGTAGCTAAATGGAAGAGGAAGATAAGATAAACTGTAATTAGAATTTTGAAATGAAGAGTTCAGAGTTCGAGTAAATGTAAAGAAATTCCACAATGTCACAGTGTGTAGTCAGACCAGGTTCTTATTCAGACTTTAAGAACCTGGTCATTTCCTCCAAGACACTCCATACCATCTGGGAGATAACTGCTCCTTCTGTTACTTATAGCGAATGCTATCATGTTCCTGGGTTACATTTCCTTAGCGCACATGTTTTGTTACCTCAGGTTCCCCAGTGCTGGGGTTGGTCTGAATGAGGATGGTTCCAATCCGTACATCCTTACATACAGCTCTCAGTGCTGGTTCCATTGTCTCTCCGGCTCGAAGGATAGAAACTCCAGTGATCTGAGTTGGAGAATTATCCGTAGTTACAAACGATATTGCACATTGTGACACTACATATAATATCCTGCCCGATGAACGGCGTCACCCTATATCGTGCCCTATGCCCAGCATCACCCTACATCCTGTCCGATACACGGTGTCACCTTATATCTTAACCCACGCATGGCATCACCCTACATCCTGTCCGATACACTGTGTCACCCTATATCATAACCCACGCATGGCATCACCCTACATCCTGTCCAATACACGGTGTCACCATATATCATAACCCATGCATGGCATCACCCTATATATCCTTGTAGATGAACAGCGACACCCTATATCCTGCTCTATGCCCGCCATTACCTTTCTTTGTATATGTACGTGGGCCGAGGGCCTGTCGGGACACTTACCCGTTTACCGTCATATGTCCGTCCACTGTAGTCATGTCCTTGTGGAGTCTGCACAGTACAGCTCTGGGGAGGGTGAGTACACGAGAAAGCTTGTGAGGCTACATTAATTAATACAGACAAAGAGATACTCTTAGTCATTGTGAGTTTACAGTTACGGGAGAGATTGCACACTCACCCTGAATGGCAGGTAGGACAGCGCATGCTCAATCAGGAGACGCATCAGACGTCGCGAATAAAAGATGAACTCATCCCGGCTAGTTTCTTTATTTCTGGAAAAAGAGATACACATTACTTCCCCGACTGCAGCACGCAAACACGGACATCTCCAATAAACAGACACTGACAACTCCAACTGCAGCCAGCAAACACTGACAACTCCAACAGACAGACATTGACATCTACAACAGACATGGACAACTCCGACTGCAGCAAACACATACTGACATCTCCAAGTGCAACAAACAAATGAGGACATCTCCAAGTGCAACAAACAAACAAATGAGGACATCTCCAAGTGCAACAAACAAATGAGGACATCTCTAAGTGCAACAAACAAATGAGGACATCTCCAACTGCAGCAAACAGACACTGACAACTCCAACTGCAGCAAACACACACTAACATCTCCAAGTGCAACAGACGAGGACATCGCCAACTGCAGCAAACAGACGAGGACATCGCCAACTGCAGCAAACAGACGCAGACATCGCCAACTGCAGCAAACAGACGCAGACATCGCCAACTGCAGCAAACAGACGCAGACATCGTTAACTGCAGCAAACAGACGCAGACATCCCCAACTGCAGCAGGCAGACGCAGACATCCCCAACTGCAGCAAAAAGATAGTGACATCTCTTATTGCACCAACCAGACATGGACATCTCCAACTCAAGCAAACAGACACGGGCATCTGTAACAGACACTACACTGACATCTCCAACAGATATGGACATTTCAACCAGACAGTGACATCTCCTATTGCACCAACCAGACATGGACATCTCCAACTCCAACTGCAGCAGACACAGACATCCCCAACTGCAGCAAACAGACACGGACATCTGTAACAAACAGACACTACACGGACATATCACACAGATATGGACATCTCAACCAGACACGGACAACTCCAACTGCGACAGACACTGACATCTCCAATAAACAGATATGGACATCTCCAACATCCGCAGA